GTGGCAGGAAAGCCAGTCTCGGTGATATGTTGAAAGCCATCATCTTGTTGGTCAAAAGGCTCAACTGGCAAAGCAGGGTTGTAGTTCACCGGTATTTCGGTAGGAGCCTCGTTCGCGTCGACGCCTTGCACCTCGCGATCAATGCAAGATAATTCTTGCACGAATGGCAAAGTACCGTTTCCCGCCGGATTCATCAAACGACCAACTTTGGTCTCGGCAAAATTGTACTCCTCATTGTCATTTTGCACCTCACGATTGGTGCCAGATTTTGGAATGAATGGCAATGTACCTCCTTTTTCTACTTTCGTAACAGACGGCGCCAAGGATGATTCGTCCTCGTCATTGGAATCCAAAGAGGAGGTGGCCGCCAATAGTTCCATGTGAAGACGAGACTTGGCCAATTTGGTACAATGGCGAGGAGACGCAGCAAGTCCCTGTTCCTCCATGTCGGCATAGTGATTCCACTTGCGCACAATCGACTTTGGGCGCAAGGCAAACTTGCTTCGTGCTGGAGTATTCTCATTGGCAATGCGACGACGACTCTTTGCAAAATAGGATCGATTGTGGGCCATGACTTTTTGTCGGCCAGCTTCGGGTGATGAGGAAAGCTTGACAGGTGCCGCTTCTGGTGGGGCCTCTCTGTCCAAAAGAGATACTTCCCGAGAGACAATGGATGATCCTGCAAAGGAGGAGTCTTCTCTTGACTCGGCTATCATCATGCCATGATAGCCTTTGTTGTCATTGGATGACCTTGGCGGCTTCCCGTTACCATTTTCAATCGATTCCCAAGAAGGACGGCTTGGAAATACGTTCTCCTTGGAAACAGAGCGTCCCTGCTTCTTGGTGTAGAATGATAATAATGCAGGAACCACGATGTCTTCACGTTCCTTCGTTTCGTCGTGTTTTCGTCGTCGTCGTGCATTGGCCATGCTGGAAATGTTTGATTTGGGCAGACTATGAACCTCGTGTGGCACCTTTGTTCTCTTGACCTTGCGTCTCCGGAGTTTCTTCCACATCTTCATCTTGCGCGCAA